TGTTAATACAACAGTCAGACAATGAGTAGTATAAGATGTATTGGCAAGAGTTGTGATGCTTTCACCAATGTATCCCACCAATGATCAGGACATATTGTAGTTCACCACTATCTTTTATTTGAGTGAGCTTTCCTCTAATACACAGTTCATGCTATTCAACAGGCTTTTTTTGAGGGGGTGGTGGAAAAACAGGACGTCGGGAGTGTTTGTTGTACGTGCGTGTGAGAATGCAGCATCAGCACGGAAAGAGTGAAAGCGGGGAGAATGATGTCAAACGGCATGCTGTTTCATTAGAAGATCGCAGACTTGCTTCACTTGTGTCAAAACAGGCTTCCAGTAACTCCTTTAGATCATCCTATCTTCAAAACCATCTGTTCCCTCCGCTTGTTTGTGTGTGAAAACGAGAGCGTGGCCACACCGTTGTTTTTGTTTTCTCCTCGTAAACCCTTTTTCTCAGATGTGCGATGGATAACTGCTGTGGGAAACACGCTAATTCCACTTTCCCCCGGCCATGCAAATCGCGGCGAAAGATTAGATCGGCTGTCAGATGGAGGTGCCCCCCTATTCCGCTGATGATAGAGCACATAATCGATTATTTGGGCAACAGCTGGACGACTTTGAGTGACACGTTTGACTGCGCTTGATGCACGGACACATGTTTCTCCGCTTCACGTCCAATCCAAGCCACATTTGGCCTACATTCGCGAGTGGAAGATACTCATCGTGCTGTAGACGATACCATGACGAATAGAACGGGGGATCTCGGCCAAACTCGCCGCGCAAGATTTATTGATGTCGTGTATCGCTGCTGTTGCAAGCGAGTCTTATCTCAGGCACTTATCTGAGGTTTACACTGTTTTGATCGAGTATTGGTTGTTTTTATAGCTCTTTTTTTCAACTTTTGCAATCAGAATCAGAAAAACACCAGTTAGGGCTGCTTGATATGGACAAAATATCAATATCATGATAATATTATACATGTTTTCATGTTTTAATTGCATTATACCTCATACTAAAGGCACATTCATGGCTTAATAATGTGAACTGGTTGAACTAAGAGGCAAACAAAGCCATTTAGAGTGATTTGAAGTGAAATGCGGAGTAAATCCGAAACCAGAACCAGACATTTGAAGCATTTAATGCCTCTAAAAGCTCCATCAGAGAAAGTTATTATGTGGTTTTGGCCCTTTTTTAATACCTTAATGGTGGAGGGGTACACAAAGGGCATTTACTGGTCATTTTTGTGTTGTAGACATTGTGACCCCTGGTTCCTGTCACCACCACTGTAAAGAAATCTGAGTCAGTAAGTTTGTCTACAATAAACCATTTCACAGCAAACCATTCTGAATGACATTATGTACATGTGAATGATTTAATTATGCAGACATTTTGAAAAAATATCAAAAATATATGAAAAATATTCGCCTTTAAACATTAAAATTTGTGCAGAACGTTAAGACTTCTCATTGGCTGATACAGGCATTGAATATGGATCCATAGGAAGCAACATAATATCAAAGGCCTTGAAAATGCATAGAAAGAACTAAGAGTGATGATCATATCAGTTTACATTACGAAACAAGTGTGGCCACTGTATGTATTGACCAGGCCTACACATGCCTACATTTGCTTGGTAATGTAAACTGATATGGTCATCAGCAGACTTCAGAAAGGAGCTATAGGAGCCAGCCTTAAGCCCAGCGCTGTAGTGAATTCAGCATTTTTGTTGGAGTGTTCACTCAGCAGACATGCTGTGGAGATGCCTGGGTTGAATTAGACACAGTAGCCAGCGGAGAGGGGAGGAGAAATGCTCAGCTGTAAATAAAATGTGAAAAAAAAAACAACAAAAAAAAAACAAAAAAGGGAAGAAACTCCTTTTGCACGTCTTCACAACATGAGGGCTTTTTTTCTCGCTCTCCCTCCAGCTGGACAGTAACTGCCAGCGTCCTGGTGTTTTATGTGTGACAAGCTTTACAGAACATTAGCAAAAAGTTCAGCCCAATGAGAAACTGTAGCGCAAAACTTTTTTTTGTTAAAAGGTGAAAAAAGGAAAAGAAAAGAAGAAAAAATTAGAGTGTTTTTAATTTCAAATGCTTGAGTTTATGTCCGTTCAGCCCGTTGAGAGATATATAAATGGATGGATGGATAAATAGATGGATGGACGGATGGATGGATGGATGGATGGATGGATGGGTGGATGGATTGATGGATGGATAGATAGATAGATGGATAGATAGATGGATGGATGGATGGATGGATTGATGGGTGAATAGATAGATAGACAGATAGATAGATAGATAGATAGATAGATAGATGGATGGATGGACTGATAGATAGATAGATAGATAGATAGATAGATAGATAGATAGATAGATAGATAGATAGATGGATAGATGGATGGATGGATTGATGGGTGAATAGATAGATAGATAGATAGATAGATAGATAGATAGATAGATAGATAGATGGGCACTGTCTCTGCCTAATGGAGTATAAACTG